CATATGAAGTGCTATAGAAAAAATTAATGAAAGATCGCGCACATGATTACTCAAGAGAATTTGGCCACAAATCTGTAGAATAATGTCTAGATGTAGATCATTAAGATATACACCAGCGTGTAACTCTTGATAATATCGCTAAAAGATCCAAAGGTTAATGGTTAGAGGCTGGTAAAGAAACAACTCATGGATGGTTGCTTGAAGTCATTCAAAGTGTGCTTAGATTGAGATATTACTTTACTTACAAGTGAGAAGAGACTCAAATAATTACATAGTCAACTAATATTTGTCTTGTTGGCTTACATGGTCTCCACCGTGAGCCAAGTTTTTCTAACTAAATATAAGCAAGGGGTTCAATGACAATTTGATTACTACTTTGAAGCATATAAGTGACTATAACATAATCCATTTGTGATCAAGAAGTATGTTGGGTCAATGATGGCTAGCAGATTGTCCATCACATGACAAAATAGATTGTGAGAAGTAAAAAAGCGTTTGAAACATAATGCTCATGATGCATAATTGAGACTGGTGAAGTGGTATGCTGGCCAAGTTAGTTGTGTTGTGATGGAGTGCCGTGGGTGAAGAAGAGTCAACGACAAAGACACTTCGACTAGAAGTGAGGCCATGGATCGAGGTCCTTGAAGTGGAGAAAATACATTATGCTGGTCCATAATGAATGATGGGAAATAACATACCGATGCAAGTGCAAGAATGTGCAGCAAGGGGTGACACATAGTAAGAAAATAATGTGGCGAGACATGGTGTAGTAAGAGGCAATACCATGAGATATTGAGAGATAGTGCGAGATACTGTAAGAGCGAGAGGGGCCGCAGCAGCAGAGGCCATTCATGTTACTCAACAGGGTATCATGGGGCAACAAAGGGGGCTACAATGGCAAAGAGGATGTAGTAGTAGGGGGTCATGATGGCATGAGACTGTGACAATAGGGCAAGTGTCAATATGCTGGTTGCATGCAACACAGTAACAAGTTTCAGTGACACAGTTGATGGCGGTGCACAACAGATGATGGCACTCAGAGAGAGAGAAGAAAGCATGTAGAGGATGTGACAACAACAACATGATGGCGATGTCAAGTGTAGCAATAACAGCACAATGGTGGCAGCAATAGTTGGAAAGAAACCTAGGGTTCTAATACAATGTTGACATAAGGGTTAAACCCTAAGATTAGATTAACTCCAAATGAAGAGATACATGTGTTTATATAGGTGAAAGAAGAGAGAGAGATAATGGGCCCAAGTGCGCCACATAGAGGAGGATGTTTGAATTAAATAAATTTTCAATTTTAGGAATATAGAAGGCATTAGTCCACTACTATTGTAATATCAAGTATATTTGTAAGCGTGATTTGTTCTTGAATCTCTTCATATTTATATCAAAGTTTTACTTCTTATCATAATAAATCTTTACACACAATTTATCAAAACGACTAATGAGACTTGGCCAAGTGTTATGAAGGATAGTACATATAGGAGGATTGTTGCTAGAAGATTATTGGAGTTTATGAGGAAGGATCTAATCGGCTGTTCAACAAGTCTCCATGTATGATATAATAGGTTCTAATAATTTTTTTGTTCTTGAAAGAAAAAACATTCTTACAATCATATATGTAGGAGGATTAGTCAAACCACATGAATCTAATGTGTTCTTTCTATTCATGTCTCTCCGTTTGTCTCTCATAAGTGTGTTTACATTGTCTTCTATTATCCAAGAGATAAAACAAGAAGGTTATCTTCCCTAACATAGATTACTAATAAGTTTTATTATCATGAGTTAATAATTAACTAATATTAAATTTTAAGTATTAACTCATGATAAATAGACATCTTTGAGTTAAATTAAGAAAAAGTAATTTTAATATTATTAATGTGAATTTATGTGAATGTATATAATTTGTATAATGATGTTTTTGAGATAAAATAAAATAATAGATAAATAAATAGATAAGGGACTCATTGGCCCACCAAACCCCCACATAAGTCAAAGACATAGTTAGGGGACCTTCTAGCCAACCAAATCCTAATGTGGGTCGAAGGCACAACCATCCTGCACACAAGTTGGAGGCACAGTCAGAGGAGCCACGAGCTTGGAACTTGAGTGGCAAAGGACCAATCGGCATGGCACGTGTGCGTTGCTCCCTTTCCACATCACTAGTGCCCAGTCTGGCATAAGGCAGGAGTGGTTTTACACAAGTGAGAGAGAGTACATTGATGATAAAAGTAGGTATTAATAAATGTGTATAAAATATTAAAAAACAATTATGTGGGACTAAACCCACACCAATAGTCATTAACATATTTTTTACTTTTTTATATCGAAAATATCACTGACTTATGAGAAGGAACCACCTTTATGATGTCATTAGGTACAAATGTAATTTACTAACTCTCTCTTATGCATGTCGGCAACCATCAAAGGTTTGAATCTCACTAGAGTCAAAATTTATGTTTTTATCTATTTAAATCATAATCTTATTACAGAGCATCAATCAATGATTAAGATGTCAAAATCACTCAATCATCAACAAAAATCTCATGAATGTGATTCGTTAAGCATCCTTATCAACTGGCAAATAATTTTGAATAAAAAGATTATAAATCTATTAAAAAAATAATCTCTGATTGATCAACAAATGAGTCATTGTTATGAAAAAGACAGTCCACTAAGAAACAAGTCCTCACTTTCTCAAAGCGTACTAGATGCAGTGAAAAAACTTCTCTTGTTATGCAAACATGAGGATGAAACTCCTTAAAATACGTCTCACATTCATCTAACTTATCTCAACTAAGTAACAGTCATTAGAGATTCATAAGTTGTTATATTTCTACTCCACTAGGTGACAGTCACTGAAGACAATTTGTCGACTCATATTTTAGACTTTGTTTAGAGATTATCCACAATCTGTGTCTATAGAAATCCTTTGAAGTTGTAGACATTACACAATAATCTTTTCGTACATATAAAATTTTGACGATCACTACCATGAAGTCAGAACTATGTGTTTTATTATTTTAAACTTTATTTTTATTTAAATTAATAATATTTTCTATGATTCTAAGTTTCAAAAACTCTTTTTCATTTAATTATGATTTTTAACTTTTACAAATATTAATTTGATTAACTAAATCATATATAATTATTTACAAAAAATCACTAGGAGTAACTCTATTTATGCTCAAACCACATTTATTAGGGCATTGATGTCATCCTAATGTCTGCACCTAAATTTTTAAGTAAATTTATAAATATATTTTATCATCATCATTTAATCTAAAAATTAGAAATAATTTTATTCTTTGAAAAAAAAATTAAGATCTTACTTGGTATTATCTCACATTTGTGCAATCAACCTATAAATATTATTACTATTTTTAAAATATTTTGATAAATTATAATTAATTTACTTGTGCTGAAATATTTCTAAAATTAGTATTTTCTACTTTTATGAATTTAAAATTTATATCATTTATTATACAATGATTAGGTCATGAAAATTAACAATCATAAGGTATAAAAAATATAATTGTAAAAATGATCATTTTATCCTTCTAATATCCTCATTATCATAAGTAAATTCCATTTTTATCAAGTAGACCCACTTTCTAAAAATCCTGAAATATTGTGTCAAAGAAGACATTAGCTTTATATTGTTGATCTACATGTTAGCTTCATATTATTTTTATAGATTTTTTTCAACATCAAAATTAGGTGGGTGCCAAAATCCCACACCATGAAAATCAACTTCCCCATTTCGTGGGTTCCACATTCAAATTATTCATGTACTTGGTTATAAGGATATCAACATATGAAAGGGCTAATTGAGAAGTACTAAGATAGTAATTAATGTTTGAATTTAGACCAATGTCAGCAATCACCATTAGCAATAAAATTAAACTTTTTGGTGGCCCTATTATTTTATATGATCTAGTAGTATATCTACCATGAATTTTCTTGTATTGAGAAAGATATACTAAGATGAATGGGCAGCTTTCAATAGCAGAAATTCTTGAGCATAAATAATATTTAAAAGTAAATTTGGGTGTGTAAAAGGGTTCTTGATTGGTATTTCAATATGATCGTCTCTTATTATAAAAATGTCATGAACATCATAAAACAAATATATTGATTTTAACACAACCTTCGAAAAAAGTAGCCTCCCCTTGGGAGTATCTTAGGCTTGGAGCTGTGTACGAACATGGGTGAAACCCGGGTTTTGAATGCATAATATATATATATATATATATATATTGAAAGGAGGATGATTTTCCATGTGGGTTTATTTGTGACCTCAAGGACCCCACCTCTCTCTCCTCTTCACTCCGGCCGAATACCGGACTTGGGGGGGCAAGGTGTGGCAAATCTCCCGGCACTGTTTGGAGCCGCGGGAGGCACGGAGAGGACTGGCCCAGCTCCATCTCCGTGGTCGTTCCTGTTCTTCTTCGCCTTCAGCTTCTGTTGCCGGTGGTTTCATCGGGGCCGCTATTCCGGCCAGGTACGACTGATTCGTTTACCCAGTGGGGGCTCCGGTGGGCGAGGACTCCATCTTGGTGGAGGCCTTCTTCGTTCCAATCTGCCCTGACAGTCGCGACGCCTGGCCCCCTCTCAAGAGGATCACCCTCGAATACGCGCCGCGATCTTCTTGGAAGTGCACCCCTTTCCCCATTCCGTTCAGTCCAGGGACCCCGTCCTTATTGGGTCGCCATATTTGGTGAAAACAATATTGGGCCCGACCGAACCGGCCCGTTGACGTCCTGATCCGGCGCCACTTGATCCGACGGCTATAATCGTTTCCTCCTCTTCTTCCTCCCTCGCTCTTGTCGCCGGCTTCTCCCTGTCGGAACCTATAACCGTTCCGATCGCTAATTCTTGTTCTGGTTTCGTCTAGGGCTTTGGTGACGTTGGTGTCCCGCTATCTAAGGTTTATCGTGCCTCCGAGCCTCCTGGAAGAGGGGGTGGCTCGGATCCCGTCGCTGGAGGGGATGGATTTTGACGAGTACGACTACTTGGAGAAGACGGTGGAGGATGAGCCATCGAAGGAGGAGCGGCCGGCGAACGGTGCCCAGTCGGGGGACCGGGATGAGGGGAAGAGCTCGAAGGGGCTCTCGGATGAGGTCGCCGGGGAAGTTGAGCGCGCTTCCAAACGCGTGAAGTCTGAGGACGATGGCGCCGCCAGGGATCTCGACCGACGAAGGGACTCCTCCCGGCACCGCTCTTCCCCCGAGCGCCGATCGAGAGACGGGGAGCGGAGTGAAAAGGAGAGGCACAGGAGTGGAAGGGAGCACAGGGATGGAGACAGGAGCCGGGAGGAGAAGAGCCGGAAGGATAGTGCAAGGAACAAGGAGAGGGACAGGGAGAGGGAGAGGGACAAGGAGAAGAGCAAGGAGAGGGATAGGGAGAGGAACAAGGAGAGGGGTAGGGATAGGGATAGAGACAAGGAGAAGGGAAGGGAGAGAGACAAGGACAGGCATAGGGACAGGGATAGGGAGGGGGAAAGAGATAGGGAAAGGGAGGGGGAAAGAAATAGGGAAAGGGAGAGGGATAGGGAACGAGAACGGGACCGGGAGAGGATTAGAGAGCGAGAGCGGGAGAGGGAGCACGAAAGGTTGTGGCACAGCAGGAGCCTCTCCGAGAAGCGTCGTGAGGAGGATCGTGATATGCATAGGGAGACGAGCAAGGATAGAGAACTCACTGAACGGGAAAGCAGGTACAAAAGCTTATCTGTTTTACTGTTCCTGCTGCTTCTGACTTTGCCGAATGTTGGAAACTACCATTCATTATGTTCCCTGATAAATTTAAACCAACTCTTTTGCACGTTTTTTTTCATTTTCTTGAGGTCCTGAATCCAAGTAGAACTGACAGGGAAATAGAAGAAGTAGCTTGATTTGATTCGCTTTTCTTGGCATCATTTGCTTTTTTAGTTCATGAATACTTTTGTTCATAATATGGAAAAAAAATAGTTCATGAATATTAATATTTTAGTTTTTTTCGTTTTGCCCTCATAAGTTATCAATTGGATAGGTAAAAGGTCATATTTTAGTTTACAATCTCCAGTTATTTAAACTTATTAATGTGATATCTTCCCCGTATTCCCAGCAGTAAACCCTGGCCTAATTAATGTAGTTGTCTAGATTTTCTCTTCCCCGGAATTAGACTGCGATCTGCTGCTTGCTTGTCCCCGTGTCACATAAGCCCTTTGCCGTTATATCTGTTGCATCTTTTTCCTCAACTTTCAGGTTCCTGTAATGATCAAGTGCATGTTTCTCCTTTGAAGTCGTGAACAAGCGTGTTTTACTTCTTTATTAGGTGTGTTTCACAACCTAGAGAAAAAAATCTCCCGCTACTTGATCTCTTGAGTTATGATTTGTGGCGCTGGTGGAAAAACAATCATTAGATACTCTCTCTCACCAGTCACCAATGTCGAAACAAATGTCTCTCAGATGAAATCCTCTCAATCGAGAAGCATGCTTAAATCCACAGAGTGCTGCAGATATTTCCTAGTGCCTGAACTTTAGTCCATATCTTTCCTATATAATGTGTATTTTTTACTCAAATGGGGTATCTGGATGACGTCTGAGGGTGTGTTTATACTATCCCTGCTATTTATTCTGTTGCCAATGATTCCTTTCTATTTCTTTCCGCGATTAGCTCTCCTTTTTTTTTTTTCAATTACTTCCTTGAATGTATGATTTCTTGAATCATGAATGCTCAAATGTTGTCTTTGATTGTACGTGTTATTTCCATTTGAAAATTCTGAATATTGAACGTTAGATTCTGGGCGCTCGCAGATGCACTAGAGCAGTCTTCCGACGATCATTCTGGAATCTGAGCCTTATTCAAAACTCAGGTTATGGGTCTTAAAGAATTCATCCTTGCTAAAATTTCTCTAACATATTTAGAAGCAGGGGTAGCAATCTGGGATGGCAACACCAAGATTTTTGAACTGAGCGGTGTTGTCATATTATGATTTTGGTTATCCTGCAACTCAGAACGAAGTGGCTTAATCATATTTATTCTGTTGCAGACATGCTGGTTGGGGGAGTCTTGGGCTTTTTCACTGCCCTCCATCTTCTGATGCTTATGAGGAAATGGATGTTGCAGAACAGACTTTTTGTTTCTTGCAGGATTTAACATCACACCCCCATGTGATTGTCGGTGGCAAATTTAGGCCTTACACGGTTTTTATAGTATGCCCAAACTTGTGTCTTCTCAGAGAATAATCAAATTTGTGGGTTTTCTCACTGGCTGAATATATATATCTTTTGCAGAAATTCATTTATTATTTTGCCACTGACAGAAACCTCCTCCCCCCCCCTTCCCCCCAACCACTCCTTTTTAAATATACATAGATATATTCATGAAGGAATAGAGGCAAGAAAAGATAAGACTAGTTACCAAAAGAACATTTTTCCTTTTCAGAAGTGATTGGCACTAAACATCATTGACATTAATACAAGAGGACAAGAAACAAAATCCTTGTGGTGTGTGCTGTGCATGGACCTACTTTTTAATTGCTTTTCACGATACGTCATATTCGTTTTTTCTGTGCATAGAATGAAGTTTAGTATTAAACCATTGCACTTCATCTTTCTGCGTTGTTATAATTTCATAGGATTCTTATATCATATGGTTTGTGTGGCTGAACTGTATGATAGCTATATTCTTGGATATGATCCATGCCATGGACACAGTCATCGCATGACAAGCTGGTTATACTCATTTAAATGCATTGTTGGCCCTTTTAAGTTGTAGAACTGTACATCTTCCCACTTTTTATTTGTCCGCTATCATGTTATTGATTTACAGCTGTTTCATTTTTACACAGGCGTTACAAAGAAAAGAAGGAAGAACCTGCAGAGCCTGAGGCTGATCCAGAGAGGGATCAGAGAACTGTTTTTGCTTATCAGGTTACCTGCTATCAATTTTCTCATTATACTTCTGTTTTTGCTATTCTTTTTTATTTCACACCTTTTGATGAGGATCCAGTCTCTTGAATATTATTTTGACAGATTAGTTTGAAGGCAGATGAAAGAGATGTATATGAGTTTTTCTCTAGAGCTGGGAAGGTAAGTCTAGGATAGCTATCCAAATTAATATATTTCGTTTAATTTTTTCGTCGAATTTTGTTTCTATCTTTCTTGTGCCCGGTCACTAATTATACGAAAAATATAGAATAAAATAGGCATGTCAGTCTATAACTTCCTATATATTTTCCTTGCGCTCTTCTAATCATTTGCTACGATTGATATGTTAGGTGCGGGATGTCCGTCTCATAATGGACCGTAATTCAAGGCGCTCAAAGGGAGTGGGGTATGGCTCTTTTTCCTGACCGTTCCTATTTGTTCCAGACTTTTCTTCAAGTTTTTATGGCTATAGGCCAAATGTGCGCATAACAGAACTAGACATAATTTGGAAGGTTAATTTCATTCTATAAGGGCCCCGCACAAACACGCACACACACCCCCCCGCACAAACTCCTGGAAGTTTAGGGGGGTATCTATAAGCTGTGGTTATTAATAATAAAAGAAAAATATATGCTGCCCATTGACTTAAAGTCCTGTCACTTTAGTGAACTTTAGTGATATCTTTTAAATTTCAAAGACCCAATACATTTGTCGTTCAATGTACGGCTAACATGTGTCAGTGCTCTGCAGGTACATTGAATTTTATGATGTTATGTCAGTTCCAATGGCAATCGCACTCAGTGGTCAGCTACTCCTTGGTCAACCTGTTATGGTTAAACCCTCAGAAGCTGAGAAGAATCTTGTTCAATCAAACACAGTAACGGCCAGTGGAGCGGGTGGGCTTACAGGGCCTTATTCTGGCGGAGCAAGGAGATTGTATGTGGGCAATCTTCACCCCAGCATCACAGAAGAACAAATCCGCCAGGTTAAATGATTAACTTCTAGTGTTTACCTATTTAACTTTCGGTATATTCCTGAGGACGAGATCTTCAACGTTATTTTCGATCGAAAGGAGTCTCGGCATGTGTAGTTTTGTGGACAGGGAATGATAGGAACAGCATGCTTGAATAAACAGTGAAGCTGACATTAGTGACTAAAAAGCCGTGAAAGCTGTTGCGGTCAACTCTGAAGAGAACAGATAGCCTCCGATTTTCATTCTATCTGGACATCCAATTCCTAGCCTCCTCTCCTCGGTCTTCCACTGAGTTTATAGCTGCAAATGTAATAGAAATCAAGTTTTTGTTGTAGTGCTCAAAGGTATCGCTCTTCTATTGTCATCTTGAGGATGCCTCCCTTCCTGTCACTATACATATACACACGTATATGTGACATCTATACGTCCGATTTCTCCCAGAAAACAAGTCCGTTCTCCCCTTCGTCTCTAGATGCAATCGCTATTACTTGATGTTGCTGTTGTTGTTATAACGAGGGTCCTGACCTGTTTTGCTTACAACCCCCTCTTTTAATTTTCTTTTTTCCCTTGACCTATACGAAGCAGAGTAAATAGTCTCTCCCCAGATATTTAGCTCTGAAATCGTAGATTATTTCTCCAGATTTCAGTGTGTCAGCATCGTTCTACTGATTCTCATTGGGTCACGGTCATACAGGTGTTCGAACCCTTTGGCCCTGTTGAGCTGGTGCAGTTACCTCGTGAGCCAGGTACACAACAGTGCAAGGGCTATGGTTTTATTCAAGTAAGTTTTATCATCAATGTGGTGCCATCTTCTCTTCTCTATGAAACTCAGTCTTTCAGCGCCGACCGATTCTGCTTGATTCTCGCAGTTTGTTAGTCTTGAAGATGCAAGAGCTGCTCAAAGCTTAAACGGACAACTGGAGATTGCCGGCAGAGTCATCAAGGTTTGCATAGATATGTAAATATGAATATAAAGCACTAAGGACTTGCATACCTTCGTCACATTATGTGGGCATCTTCCTCTCTCTACCTCTAGGTTTCCACTGTATCTGAACAAGTGGGGATGCCAGAATCTGCGATGAATGCTGCTGATTTCGATGATGATGAAGGAGGTGGTCTGGTGAGTATCTATCAAATTTCTGCCTTGTTCGATCTTTGTCACTATGAATTACCCAAAATAACATGTTTGTTATATAACATACATGACTGGAACTATCTTGAATATTCTAGTTAGCTTACATGCACCATATATACACGGAAAGAAAGGTCAATTTCCTTCCATTCATTTAACTGGGTCAGATTATTTCCGATACCTGAAGGATTTCTTGACCATCGTCCTGGTTTCTCTAGGCTCTCGATGCCCACTCCAGAGCTCTCCTCATGCAGAAGTTGGATCGCAGTGCCATCACTACCAGGTTTGTGGCCTCAATCCACTCTCTGCGTCGCTATATGTGAAAAGAGGCTCATTATCTGAAGTCGTGTTTGAGTGTATAATAAAAAAAAAAATCTATCTGAGGATTTTATGGAAGTTGACAGTTCAAAAATTGATTAGTGATTATTTCTTTATACAGAAATTCACGTTAAACAAAAAAAAAATACCACCAGAGATCTTGCGGATATGGAGAACCGAAATTCACCATTTAATATTTTTGGAAGTATTAACTCACGTTAAATAAATGTGCAAATACACTCTTTATCCGAGGATTTTTCGAGCAGAGACGATAAAAATTCATCGGTGGTCACCTTTGGGATTATATAATGTCACATAAAATAGACATGGAAAAACGATATTCATTATTCATCTCTCTTCATTTTCCAGTGTTGTTGGATCCCTCACCAACCCTGTCGTCAGCAACCCTGCCGGGGCGTCGGTTCTTGGCGCACCACCGCCAGTCGCCCTGCTTGGGCAGCCGCCGCTGCCCAGGCTGATTGGACTGCCAGGGCTGAACCTGCCGTTGGCTGCAGCGGCGGCGGCGGCGGCAGCGGCAGCGGCAGCGGCGGCGGTGCCGCCGATCAACACAATCGGTGTCCCCAGTGAGTGTCTGCTCCTGAAGAACATGTTTGATCCGAGCGTTGAGGTGCGATCTGCATCATCATTGCCTCTGTTTTATTTATTATCCATCCTCCACATGTGAATTAATCTTTTTATTTATATTTATATTTATATTTTTGTGTAGACTGAACCCGACTTTGATTTGGATATTAAAGAGGACGTTCAGGACGAGTGTTCCAAGTTTGGCCAAGTGAAGCACATCTTCGTTGACAAGTGAGTTTTCTCTTTTCTCTGAAAATAAAAAAGTTTCTACTTCTTGATAGGGTTTGTCAACGGGCTCCATTCCATCCTCCCCCCCCCTTCGCCCTGTTTTTTAGAGACTGACGGACAGACAGATAGAGAGAGATAGAGAGAGATAGGATGTGATAGGGATATAGAGAGATAGAGAGACAAACGGACAGACAGACAGACAGAGATACGGTGTGATAGGAATATAGAGAGACAGAGAGATAGGGTGTGATAGGGGGGGAGAGAGAGAGAGAAAGGTTGCCGCTTCTTGGTTAGATTCTGTGAATGTGGTTTCTGATTTGCTTGATCGCCGATCGAGAAAAAGAAAATTCCTTGCGGTAGGGTCTGGAAAAAATAAAAAATAATAATATTTGTTCGATCGTGGTTGACTTTGCAGGAAGAGCACGGGTTTCGTGTATCTCCGCTTCGACAGCGCGACCTCTGCGATCAGCGCCCAGCGCGCCCTCCATGGGCGGTGGTTTGCAGGGAAGATGATTACGGCGACGTTCATGGTCCTCTCTCTCTCTCTCTCTCTCTCTCTCTCTCTCTCTCTCTCTCTCTCTCTCTCTCTCTCTCTCTCTTAATCTCTGTCTCTTCTCTGCAGCTTCCTCAAAATTACAGCGCAAAGTTCCCCGGCGCTTAGCAGGGCTCCGTCAGCCGCCGATTTTACTCAACTCTGTGAGGCCGAGCTGGACATCTGTATTTATAATGTCCTCTCGTGAGCCCCTGAGGCTTCTACGGCGATCACCACCTGGGGCCTCCATGTTCAACCTACCTCTCTCTCTCTGTCTCTGGAAGATTTTTTCCCCAGAAAGCGATTATTCCATTTGATTAGATTGATCAGATGTGTCACAGAGGACAGCGCCCCACCAAAAGCCCGGATAATCTCTTCGTTGTCACATATTGCTGACTACTTTCGTCAGATGGTCAGTCCGGACCCAGACCCAGTCCGAGTCTTCTCATCCGAAATCAAACAAGCATAAATTGACGATTCAAATCTTCTCCTCGAATGCGGTTCAAATCCCTCTTCCCATATTGGGTAAATAAAATTAAAGAAGACAAATGAAACCAAAATTCCACCTCCACCCAAAACCCGCCGCCGCCGCCGCCGCCACGCTTATCAGGGGAGCCCTCTGCAGCTCCTGTAGTCTTCTCTGCTCAGGAAGGAAGCCATCAAACGGGGCCAGTCTGCAGGCTTCGGCATGATGATGGCGATGAACCCTTCACGGTCGGCCTGAGTGATGCAGGAAATGAATAATAGGGGAATATCAGGCGGAGAATGTGGCCAGTGATAGAGGGAAACTCTTGGCCCGGCTGAGAAATTCCCAACACCAGGTGGGGAGATGAGCAATCCAGCCTAGATTTTGCCACATAGTGCGTGGGTTTGAGCCTAAATCCAGATCAATTCAGGAGATATAGACCCATGAATATGAATCTTCTGATGAATTTTATAAGCTCACGCGGAAAATTATTTCATAACTGGTTCCTGAGCAGACACAACAACAAAACTTTCTTTCCAGCCCCATATGCTCCGAGCGAGGCGGATTCTGATCTTGAGTGATGCTTGTTGCCATGATAAAGCTAAAAGCCAACCCTAATTCTGTGAGTGGATTTGGGGTTCGGCGGATCAGAAACCCTGAAGGCCCAGAGAAAGCTTCGTTCTTTCCCTGGTCAAACTGGTTTAGGGTTTGGGATTTAAAGTGGGGACGAGCTGGGGGAGAGAACCAAGAACCATCGACCTCTGTTGCAGGGTCTCTTCCAAATTGTTATCTAGCATGATTTCTGAGCTTTTGTGGATCAAATTCGCAATCTCTCTCTCTCTCTCTCTCTCTCTCTCTCTCTCTCTCTCTCTCTCTCTCTCTCTCTCTCCCCCCTCCCTCCCTATAAACTCAGCTTTCAACTCCATCCTAAAGCTTTGTAAAGTCATTAGAAGATTTCTGTCCAAAACAAGCTCTCCTATGAAGCTGTATTTTGGGAAAAAAACAGATTTCTAAAACTAAACACCAACCGGTCCAAGAAAAGCATAAGAAATCACAGTTATCAGACGATTTATATCCAAAACAAGCTTCTATAGGAAAACGATCAGAAAACAGTAAAACAGATCATTAACTAAATCAGGGAACAATCTGTGAAGCCCTCAGAACTTAAAGCCTACTTTACTTACAGAGGAATTAAGCAGCCCAGGCTGTTTGATGAGCCTTTCGTTGACCTCTAAGAGTGATCCTTTCACGCAGCACCTACAGAAAGTAAACACCACGAACCCATGACTTGGTCAACATAATCAGTCCTAATCTCCCGGTAGAAATGAAACGCATTAGGGAGGAAACGAGCCGCACCTCACTACGTAGGAATTGCTGCTGGTGTTGACTTTGCATATAGCAGAATTTGGTTCAAAATGTAGCGCGTTCTTCAGCAAAAAAAAAAAAAAAAAAACAAAAACAAAAACAAAAAAAAAAGGCATAGTTAGTAACAACTCAGAGTCTTGAACTCACCGGAGGATTAAAAGCATCAAACCGTAGCCAATAATACCCTCTTGCGCTTCCCCGAGACCTTCATCTCGCTCCTGTCGGATCTCCCGACGTTGAAATCCACTCCAGTCACTCCACCCTCTTCCTTCAGAGCAACATGGCTCGCAGCCAGGCCGACCACGCATAATCTGAATGGCGAACAGGTTGCGATCAGATCGGAACGGAGAAGTTCCACCGCGTACTAAAAAACCCAGAATCCTCGGTTACCCATTGGCGTGGCGATGGATGTACTGGTCGTGCCCGGGCTTCAGGAAGTCTTATCGGCGAGAGGAGGGAGAACGAGAAGACCCGGAAGTCAATGATACGTAAGAAAAATCGCCCTTTCCGATTCTCGATTGATTAGGGTTTGGAAGCGTCACCTACGGCGAAGTAGGTGACGAAGTTGGCCTCGACGGCAGAAGGGGCGGCGGGGGGTAGATCGCACAGATCGGGCACTATGAGACGACGGAGCTCCGAGTCTCTATCTCCGCTCTCTTTCTCCTCTGCCGCCGCCGCCATGCCCGGAGCAGCTCCCCCCATCGAAGCAGGGGACCTCAGGCCCGAATTTTAGCTATCGTTGATATATTTAATCATAAATCGTGGTGTTGCTGAGAAATTCAATTAATAATGGTATTATTTTCATTATAGAGATATATATATACACACGAGTCTGTCTCTGAGGGAAGCTATTCCAGATGGCCCGCTACCTGCTTGGCCGGGCTCGATTTTCCGCCGCCGCCGGAGGGTCACCTTGTCGGAACTTCTCTGTGCCCTCGTTCTGGCTGCTCCTCAGACGTAGCTTCTCCGACGCGGCGGCGGAGGAGTGCTGCGGCCTCCTCCGGCGACCACCAAATCCCGCCACCCCCAACCTGGAGATGGCCCTGAAGAAGCTCGCCCTCGCCGGAAAACTGGACGCCTCCACCGTGGAGAGCGTCCTCCGCCGGTATCCGGCGTCTACTGCCGGCGACCGCTCAACCCTCCTCCGCTTCTTCGTGTGGGCGGGCCTCCAACCAGGCTACAGACACAGCGCCGCCGCCTATAGCGCCGCTTGCGATGCCCTCCAACTATCCCGCCGCCCAGAGACTGTAAACCTCCTCCTCGACGCCTACCAGAGTGACGCCGTCCCCGTCTCCGTCAGGACCTTTAAGGTCCTCCTCATTCTCTGCCGGCAGGCGGGCTCCGGCGAACAGGCCCTGCAAGTTCTCAGGAGAATGGCGGAGTTCGGTTGCCGCCCTGATACCTCCTCCTTCAACTCCGTCATCCGTCTCCTCCTCGTCAGCGGCGGCGGCGGCGGCGGTGAGGGGGAGAAGAAGAAGATTGAGGTCGCGGAGGAGCTGCTGGAGGAGATGACAGTCGCCGGAGTTCAGCCGGATATGGTGACCTGCGTCTCGATGGTGAAGGCCCTCTGCGGCGCCGGCAGGTTGGACGAAGCTCGGGGACTCGTCGGAAGGATGAAGTCCAGAGGATGCCTCCCCAACGTCGTCGTCTACACCGCCCTGCTCGACGGTGCCTGCAACTCCGGCGACCTCCCGGCGGCGATGGAGCTGCTGGAAGAGATGGAGAGCGGCGCTGCCGGCGAGTCCTGCAAACCCAACGTGGTGACCTACACCTGTTTGATGAAATGCCTCTGTGAGATGGGACGGGCGGAGGAGGCCATCTGCTTTCTGGACCGCATGGGGAAGCACGGCGCCGCCGCCAACCGCGCCGCCGTGGCCACCCTTCTGGGAGGGCTCTGCCGGCAGGGGACGGCGGCGGCGGCGGCGGAGGCCTTCGCGGTGGCGGAGCGGGTAGTGAGAGACGGCGTCGTCACCAGCGAGGAGGCCTACAGCTCCCTCCTCCTCTGCTTCCTCCGGGAAGGGAAGGTGGCGGCGGCGGAGGAGCTCGCGGAGAAGATGCTGGATAGCGGAGTCAACCCTGATGGGGCGGCGCGGAATCTCATGCTCAGGGAGATTTGCGCCGCCAGGCGGCCGCTAGACGGGCTCCTCTGGGTCAACGCGATGTGGGCGAAAGGGTTGACTTTAGATGCCGACGTGTACTCCTCCCTGTTGGACGTGGCGTTCGAAGAGGGTCACTTGAGGGAGGCGGTGGGGATGGTCAACGGCATGGTCCAGAGGGGGATCCTGCTGCGCGCCGGCTCGCCCGCCTGCGCGGAGGCTCTCGCGGAGATCTTGGAGGCATCCGGAGAGGTTGACCTCGCCGGCCGCCCCGTCGTATCCCCGGTCAAATCGTAGGGACTGAAATGGGAAAGTCAACGGATAGGAGGTTATCGGATAATCCGACGTGGCAGTCATACTTATCCTGGAGAGTACAAACAATTTGGTGCCGGATGTGGGATCATTTTTGTGCGTGATTTCATCTGGCTATTCCACGTGGGGTCGCAGGAGTGTATCTTGGGCCACGACAGGCTCGGCCCGGCCCGGTTTTTTTGTTCGTAAATAGAGGCCCGGCCCGGATTCTCAGCCATGACAGATACTTTCCAAGATAAAATTAGAGTATCTTTTTTTTTACCCACATAGTAATCAAATAAATAAATAATATTTCTACAATAATAACTTATTATTAGAAGTTAGACACGTGAGTCCATCTTTGTCAATGCTTGGTCAGGTTTTCTTAGCCATAATTGATTCCTTCTCCAAAAAAAAAAAGAAAGGTTTTATTTCCTAAAATATACTACAATAAAATAGTTTATTACTATTATTACTATATATATATTATTATTTACTATTTAAATCATGTTTATTATTAAAAAAAACATGTAAAATATGTATTATTTTCCGCATTATCCTCGAACCAAGCAAACTTTCCAAAAAAGTCGAATACCCTCTTTAGCCGGAAGAGGAAGGATTTTGGGCGCCGTCACATGAAAATAGTTTTCTTTGATTCTAAGCCATAATTGATTTATTCTCCAAAAAATTAAAATGGGATTTATTTTCCAAAATTCGCTATGAAAAATAGTTTATTGTTGTAACTAGGGGGGGATTTATTACTAGGTACATATACTTTTCAATTTATACCAGTTTATTTTATTATCTAAAATCTGCAAAATAGGTAATTACCTGTTAAAAAATATTTGTAACTAATAAACTATGACTATTCTTTATGAGCGAGCAAATACTTCATATGTGATGGCAAACTTTGGTGGAGATGAGGGCAGGGAATTTGCAAGAGGTATTGGTTCTTTCTTATGTTGGACATGAAGAACACGGACTTTGGAATCTGTGTCATGAAAAAAATTAATTAATTTCATTCATATTCAAAATTGGTTACTTCTCTAAAAAAGATTATTATTTTAAAATAATATACTAAAAAATATATTTTTGAAATTGAAAAATATACATTTATCAATACCGCAATATAGCAAGAAGTTATTGGTTCTTATGAAGAACATGGCTTCGGGAGCTGTCACATAAAAAAAATAAAAACCTTCATTCATATCAAAATTGGTTACTTCTCTAAAAAAGATTATTATTTTTAAATAATATATTAATATATATTAAATTGAAAAATATACATTTATCAATACCGCAATATAGCAAGAAGTTATTGGTTCTTATGAAGAACATGGGCTTCGGGAGCTGTCACATAAAAAAAATAAAAAACTTCATATCAAAATTGGTTACTTCTCAAAAACATATTAAAATATTTTTAAAAAATCACTGTGAAAGTCAGTTACTGCTTTATCACAGTACTATTAAATATGTATTGTTGTCAATTTAAACCACCCTTTTTAGTATATTTAAAGAACGGAAATGAAAATTAATCTAGAAATTTAAATGTCTGTTTTTTTTATGAAGGGAATTTTCTTCAAAAATAAAATACCCTTTTTTCTGAGCTTGATGTCTACCAGCCGGAAAGTAAGAGCTTTACTTAGGAGCCATCACATGAAAAGTATTTCACTCGTTTCTTAGGAATAATTGGTTCGTCAGTCGAGAAAAAAATTTAATTGGCTTTATTTCCTAAAATGCGCTATGAAAAATAGCTTACCGTACGCGGGTGGAATTTATTATGAATAAGCATTATTTTCAATTTAACCAGCTTTATTTAGTATCATTTTTCACACCATGTCCGGAACTAACTGACATATGACTATTTATCTTAATAGCTGACTTCAAAGAAAAACAAATTACTATGCAAATTAGTATTGATCTTCAAAAATTGGCATTGTGAAAAATAGATCACTTCGAATTAATTTCAAAACACGTACAATTTCAAATTTAAATAATTTTTTTATAATATGAAAACTGCGAAAATAGAGGACCTTCGTACTATATTTTCTTTATAAATTAATTTAAATTTAGATATTTATTTCGGAAGCAGACTTTCTGCAAAAAATTAATGACCCCTCTTTATGAGATGTCTATCAGCCAGCTACCGCAGAAATGACAGCTCCGAAGTGGACCCCAGAAGTCTTTTACTGCGGCAGGGGCACCGGCCGGCTTTAGGGTTGCTGGAGGCACGATGAGAGGAGCCAAGCAAAAGCGGCTCCATGAAAAGGCGTGAAAGAAGAAAGGAGAACGAAGAACGACTGACACTGTAAAATTAGAGAGGGAATAACTTTCGACAGACGGAGAGGAAGAGAGGGACTGATACAACGATGGCGAAGCTTCTTCTTCCGGCGACGTCAGTTTCAGTTCCGGGGGTTGCTTCGGAAGGAGCCCAAAGCCTTGATAGCGGCGGCCCGCAGGATATACTGGTGGTAGGCGGCGGCGGCCAGGGCGCCGACGAACGGCCCGACCCAGAAGATCCACTGCACCAAAGAACACAGAAAACTACAGCTTTTTAGGGCGGCCAAGGTTCTCCGATGAGGAGCGAGGTTCGGTAACTACCTGGTCGTCCCAGGCCTTGTCGTTGTTGTAGATGACGGCCGCGCCGAAGCTCCTCGCAGGGTTGATGCCTGTGCCGGTGATGGGGATGGTGCCAAGGTGGACGACGAAGACGGCGAATCCGATGGGCAGCGGCGCCAAGACCTGGAAAACCCATGAGTGTCAACGGCGCTAAACGAACAAGATGCAGAAGACGAAGAAGAAGATGAAGGGGGAGAAGTACCGGGATGTGAGAGTCGCGGGCGCTGCGCTTGGGGTCGGTGGCGGAGAACACGGTGTAGACGAGGACGAAGGTCCCGATGATCTCTGCGCCGAGGGCGGCGCCGGTGGAGTATCCGTCCGCCACCTCGTTGGTGCCGCCGCTGAGGGAGTTGTACGGCTTCTTCATGAAGGCCTTCACCAGCCCCACGCCGCAGATGGCCCCCAAGGACTGCGCTGCCATGTACGCCACCGCCCGCAGCAGCGAGACCTTCCTCGCCAGCAGTAGTCCGAAGGTCACCGCCGGGTTTATATGCCCCCCTGCACAACAAACAAATCCAGACCCACTGAGAGAGAGAGAGAGAGAGAGAGAGAGAGAGGAGAGAGAGAGAGAGAGAGAGAGAGAGGAGAGAGAGAGAGAGAGAGCGAGCGAACCAGAGATGCCTGCGGTGCAGTAGACGAGGACGAATATCATGCCGCCGGCAGCCCAGGCGATGCCGAGCAGGCCTACGCCGCCGCAGGCAACGACCTGCTTCTTGTGGCCGATGATGGTGGCGACTAAGACGTAGAGGAAGAGGAGGGTGGCGATGAACTCTGCGATTAGGGCTCTGTAGAAGGACCACAGACGGAGCTCTCCCAAGTCGAAGAGCGGCGCCGGAGGTGGATCCCGGTAGTCCCTCGCCGCCTGCTGCGCCGCCTCAACGGTTACCTCCTTCGCCATCTCTGCGCTCGCTTCCCTCTGATACAATGACGACGAAGAGCTCTTTCGTCTTCTTCTTCTTCTTCTTCTTCTGAGGTTCTGTCCCCAGCAGAGAAGACGAGAAGATGTTTATTAGGCAGTCAGTTCTGATATACCTGAGGGACAATTTTATTCAACGTGGTTCCGATCTCTCAACCGTCCGATGTGGAGGCCTCCCCCTTGTCAGACTATCTGCACCACTCTCCTGGTCTAGTATTTCGACTATCCTGGCCGTCGGATTGCCTCGGGTCCAACGGGTACCATCCTTGGGAGCTCTCCTACCCGTCCCTTTCGCTGTCGCCTTTCATGGGAGCGGCGCGCCTTAACGGTCATATTCTCAAGTCCGTGATGACCAGTATGTTGACCCGTCCCCCACCGCACGATCCAATCATCATAATGGATCATAACGGCACCAGTTTTAGCTGGTTCGATCCTATCCGTTCGACACGACTCGGCTTCTAGAAGTCAACGTGTTAATTGTGGTGGCATTAGTTGTGGCGCTCTCACTCCCATCAAAGCACATTAATGGGACTGGCATATATCACTAATTAAATTTTTTACTTATTTTTTTCAGAATAGAGAAAAATCATAATACCCGCATTTAAATTCAATGGAATTTTTTAATAATAACGTACGATATAATATTAATTACAGGTATAAATCAAGACGTAATCCGTGCGGGTATGGTTGGAATTGTGGGCCGGCCCAGAAGAACGAACATTGGGCCCAATAATTGGACACCAAAATAGCAATGGGCCCGCCTTTGACGTCATATTGGTCCCGCCTATATATATGGAAACCTTACTGTTACTGACAGATTATCCCCCGATTTGCTGACGTCATCGTAGGGGGGGGGTCGGAAAATCCCGCCGACATGGAAGTCATTCCCCGCCGGTTGACGCGTAATTATCACGTAATAAACCAGAAAATATTACTAAAATAATTACGCGATAATTACTAAAAACGCATTGTCAAAGGCTACGACGTTGACTTAGATTTTACAAAAGGCGCCGTTTTTTTTCACGTAATTTTTTTCCGATTGACGCGGTAATCACATTAATGTAACTACTAAAAAAGTGATTTAACTGTGTAATTACAGAGAGGGGAAGTCAACATGGCCTGTTTGAACGGGCCAGAGGGCGCCCGTATGTTCCGCAATTTTGGAACAGACCTATTTAATGGGAATACCACTTTTGGATACTCGGGTTGATTTAACCGTGCGTAGTTCGTTGGACTCCCGCGGGCGGGCACGTCGAGGAAACTTAGGCGACGACGTTACAGAGAGAGAGAGAGAGAGAGAGAGAGGGGGGGGGGGGGAAAGAAGCAGGATCTTCGGGGGCTTCGAGATATAAGGAGATCTTGGAACGAACTACGAGTACCTGCCTTCTAATGATGGAGAGTCGACCCTAGTTTCGCCGCCGCAGCCGCCGCCGCCACCACCACCACCACCACCACCATCCAATCTCTCTCTCTCTCTCTCTCTCTCTCTCTCCCCCACCGCCGCCGCCAACTCGTGGGTCGTCTCTTCATCCTCGGCTAGGGTTTATGGCTTCGGAGACGTCTATGGCTACGCCGCGGTCGGAGTTTCCGGATGATTCCCCGCTGCCCGCGTCGTGGCTCACTGGTTCGTCGCCCCCGGGGAGAGAGGCGGAGATGGCCGGAGATCCGGCGCAACTGTCACCGGCTGACGAGGTGATCAACTCCGCCACGGCGGAGGCGGCGGATGCGGAGGAGAGGAAGAAGACGGCGTGGAAGAACAGCTGTGCGTCTAATGGCGTGATGACTACGGACAGCAGGGTGATGGGAGGCGTCTCGTGGCCGGCTCTCTCCGAGGCTTCTTTCATGGCGTCGGCTAGATCGTCCTCCTCCTTTCTCAATGGCGTCTCCCATGGAACGAGCTCTGCGGCTTCAGTGAGATACATTTCCTCCTCCTCTTTTGAATCACGCATCGATTTTGGTTTCCTCGCTGCATGCCCTAACCTGCATCTGTCATCGCTCTCCAGAAGACGGAGAACGATACCAACTCTAGTTCATCCTCCGCTCGGGCGCCAATGAAGGAGGAGAAAACCAAGGATCACGGCGCTTATTTTGGCAGCGCGAAGGCAGAAAATGGTGGCAGCCTAGTGGCCGGCGGCGGGACGGCGGCGCCCGCCGTGTGCCTGCCGGAAAATGGGAGGGCGAGAAACTCGGAGAACGGATCTAGGCGTGGGGGAAGGCCGCCACAGGCACAGGGAGGGAACGAGTTCCACAGGAGTTACAGCGGTAACAGGAGGGGAGGAGGAAGCATCAACAACGGGGGTTGGGGAGGGGCCAACAGGAACAATCCTCAGAACTGGAGGGGCCATGGAGGGCGGAGCGGCTACGACTGGAATCGTCGTCCCTTCGCCGGCGCTGACGGAGCTTTACCTGTTCATCATCTTCATCACTGGGAGCACTCACAGGCGAGAGCCATGGCGTGGCCCTTCCACCCGAGGCACATACCACACAGTCCACCGCCATTCATCCCTGCGCTCCCGCCGGTGCCTCCTCCCTTCGTGGGTACCATGGGATACTACGGCGAGTACCCTCTCTCCATGGTTCAACAGAGTTCGGCCGTCCTTCTTCCCTCTCTTCTTCGTATTTTTTAGTAGTTGGGGAGGCTCTTACCTTCGTCATTTTGTTCCCAGGAATGCCACCGTTGCCGCCGCCGTCGATGTATTACGGCCCACCGCATGCTCTTGTTCAGGACCCGCGTTTTAGAGGACCTTCTGGAATGCTTTACGCGGCACCAGATTTACAGCTACGATACCGATTAACACAGCAAATTGATTATTATTTCAGGTGAGAATTACGCGGAGAATTTGGTCTGATTTTCCTCTGGCGCATGTATGTCGAGTCTCTCACCCTTTGTATTTTCATTGCTGCAGCGATAATAATTTGTCTACTGACGAATTCTTGCGGAAACAAATGGATGAACAAGGATGGGTTTCACTTTATCTCATTGCCGACTTCAAAAGAGTGAGTCAACTCGGTTTGTTATAGCGTTTTTCTTTTGCTCATTTGCTCATTGTCAAAACGTTTTTTTATAAAAAAAAATTCACAGGTCAAGATTTTGACGAATAATATTATATTTATATCGGATGCTGTGAGAGCTTCCACTGTTGTAGAGCTAGAGGTATGCATTCTTTCTGTGAATCTATTCTCTTCTGATCCACATAACTATAGAAATCTTTTATGTGAAGCTTTCATGCATCATCCATTGATCAACCTACTTACCTTACCTTACCTTAACAAGGTTATTATCAAAACTGAAGAAAATAATTCATTTCCTTTAGGTGAGTATTTTACTAGTGATTCTCCTACTATTTTGCAGGGAAGTAAGATAAGGAGGCGGAATGACTGGATGCGCTGGCCGTCGTTGAGGTCACTGGCCACTCCAAGCACTACGGGACCTTTGACCAATAGCTTGGCGGCGATGGCTCTAGATGAAGGGCAACCAAATGGCCATCATTCTCCAGTGAGGTCCTCCCTCGGTGGATAGTCATAGCTGTGGTCGTAGCTTCAAACAAGAGGAAACGCAGTTAGGTGCACCACCATCCATTGCTCAGTCTTTTTCGTCGTGAAGATGATGTCAAAGCAAAATCTTATGTACTAGAGCCTTCAAAGAACAAAATAAATAAATAAATATACTATAAAATAAACTATCAAAAAAAGGATAAACTAAGTTGGATTGTTTCTTGGATTGTGTATTATTTGATTCAAGAGTGGATTTCAAAATAATGCCGCACATAGAAAGAGATTGATCCATTCTTTGGATATATTATTCATACACTCCAATAGTTTGCCTTTGGAGAAAAATATGGATGAATAACGATGAGCTTCACTTTATCTAATAGTAGACTTCAACAAACTGAGTTGACTGAAGTTGTTTTATTGCTATCTTTTTGTTGATTTAGTTGTATAAAAATCTACATGGTTTGTTGTTCTTTCAAGTTTTTTCATCTAATAAATCACTAGCTGCTAATCTTTTGCTCAACTAGTTTATTAAATTATAGTAACAATATATAAACAAGATAAGAGAATAAGTGATCAAGGTTCTCTATTTGTACTTCCATCTTTCTAGAACTTTATTGTCTAGTCTAATACACTTGAGCATGACTACTTGATTTTTCATTGGATATTGAAATTATGAGACTTTTAAAGTGATTGATAGTGCAGGTAATCATTACTTTTTGTTTGGTAGCTTTTATATTATTTTGTGATTTTGATTACATAACTTTTTCCTTCACACTAACTACTCTCTCTCTCTCCCTCCCTCCCTCTCTCTTATGTCATTTTTTGTTGTTGTCAATTGAATTTTATTTGACATTTTACATAAGGTACATTTAACATCATTAGTTTTTTTTTGTGCTAACTTACATATTTCAATGCTCCCATCCATAGTTATTTTTTTAACCTTTATATGTATAAACAAAAAAATAAACAGATTTATTTCATCCAATATAAGTTTTGTACCCATTCAACTTTTTCTTTTTTGACATGTTCATTTAACATTTTATTTAAATTATCAAATTATTTTAATAATAAATTATTACTTAGAACAAGTCTTGTAAAATTCATTATTTCATGTTATGTGTATTTTATTTGTTCTCTTTTCTTTATTGGGCCATCATGGTAAGACCCATTGTATGCCAATATAAATACTTGTCAATGATCCTAGATATGAATAATTGATTTTCTTACTTCGAAATTGGTCATATCTCTCTCCCCTTCTTTGCATCTTAAAACATGGTATCATAGCTTCTTCAATGGTTTAAAGAGTACCATATTTGTCAGTAATAGATATAAATGACTAATATTGTGGAGATATGCGATGATAAGATATACAGTGATATGATAGATATATCTTCTTCTTTATACATTCTCTAGTTTCTTTGCAAAGAGTAATAATTGAATAGTGACACATTTTGTTGATCAATTAATGATTCATTGATGTTGACTTATGTGATCACTTTGTCACATTTTATTAGTTAGCTCTTCATGTAGCTTTGAATTTGAGCACATTTAGCATCAAACAACTCCTATTCATTACCACTTGCTACTACTTTTGGCTTTTATTTGATAATGAGTTCGACCAGATTATTGTGGCGGAGGTTGATGTGTTTGTAACAGTAGTGAAGTATTTTGTGATAATAGGGTTGATGATGTTCCAAAAGTTTCTTCTTCTTTGAGAAACTCAATATATAAATTAGATTTATAATTGGTATTAAAACTAGATTTTTGAGTAATTGATTACTAGAAATGTATATTACTTTCACCAAATGTGGTATTAATAGTCTTAATAATTTTTTCAGACCTCAGATCATAGAATTTATATCTTTTTTGTGCATTAGAGTATCCCACAAAAATTACCTTTACTATTGTGGGAGCTAATTTGGGCAAAACATCATGAGGTTGTTAGATGTATATAATACATAAAAAATATACAAAGAGATAAATCCGGCCCAAATTACACAACATAATAATGACCCTACTATAAGAGTCAATTAACAAGATAAGTGGTACTTAATATTACTTCACTTCACAAGGTTTTTGACACATAGGCTTTAGACATAATAGTTTTTGTTATTTCTAACAATTGATCAATCTTCTTTTATGTTACTTCATTTTGCTGAGGAGTATGGAGGAAGAAGATTAATAGATGATTCTTACCTCATTAAAGAAATCGGAGGTAGTAGAGTGTATTATATAGAAAGGAGATTCACATTCATGCCAAAGTAGAGGGAAATGAGATTTGACATTATTTGGCCATCTAATAAAGTTAACATATAAAACTAAATTCACCAATTACACTACATAGTTTGGGAAATAAATTTCAAATCTACTATGACAATGCGAAAGTAATAATTTATTCATAGGAGAAGTGAAAGTAAAAGTTGATATGTCTTGGCTAAGATTTGTTAACATCATCTTGTCCATCCATCTAGTTTAGTAAAATCTATTATGTACTTTAACTTGTTCAATCTTCTACTCGATGTCTTGTCAAAGAAGAAACACAAATCATTGTCAACTATATTAGATAATTTATTAATACATATCAAACTAATGTCAGCTATAAGTAAGATATTCTCACTTGCAATGATAACCTTCATATTGTTGGTACACACCTCATATGTTCTAAATAATGATGTATATGGAGTCATATGATAAGTGATTCTAGACTCAATGATTCAAAATATTTTTAGTAAAATAACACTTACTAGTATGCACAAGAGAAGTGAAATTGATTATGTTCTTCAGTTTTTTGATTTTCTCATTGAGCTTTTCAATCTCTTAAGTTTGAAAAGAAGTAGATCTGCCATGACAATAAATTGTCTGACTAGATCTTCTTTGCAACACCTAATTAATACTATCATTATCACCATTTTGAGCATTAGCCAAATAAAGTTTTGTATAGTTCTATGGTTTACCATAAAGTTTTCAACATATTGCTTTGGTGTGATGATTCTTTCACAATAAGTATAAACTATTTCTGCCTTTGAATTAGTCTTGGGATCTCCCTTGGTGAATGGTACTTAACCATCTGCTTTGTACTTTTTAGAAAAAGAGAGTCATCTTTATTTTTGAGGATGCTAAATTTAGCATTATTTAGATTCTTCAAATCATTATGTAGATTCCTTATGATTTCCTCATGTTTGACTAATGCAATGACTAATTCAATGTTTGGTACCACCTCTTAAACAATAATCTGATTTACTAAAATCTCGTACTTTAGATTCAAACTCATCAAAAACTTATATAACCTATCTTTCATGATGTAGTTTCAGTTTTCAGTATTAGAATTCTTAGCCAGTTGATAATGATCAATTTCTTTCTAAATATGTCCCAACATGATCAATGTTCTATGAATTAAATTAAGAAAAAATTTACACTAAACAATCAATTTATGATTCATCATGCTTCATGGAGTGAGCATGATAGATCTTGTCCCACAATTTCCTTTATATATTTTAAATAAAGAAATCAATCACTTGTCTTTGGTGAAATATTTTTCAACATCCAATATTAAATTAATGCTTCTTCTTTTCATGAGAAATCTCTTGGATTATCAACACTTGGTGATGATTAAGTTACATGATGATCTAAATATCTTCTAAGTAGAATAAACTTCACATAAGAATATCGCATCAATTTTAAGTAAATCTGAACATATATTGGTTACCTCAATTGAGTGTCTTAGGCCATGGAAAGATGACTCAATAACCTTTGACTCTATAAATTCATGCTTTACTAATTTGTTAAGACAAGTTGCTTATAGTCAACTGAAGAGAATGCCAACTAAGATGCTGATCAATCTTTTAGGATTTTTTTTATAAAAAATTTATAATGTTAGAGTTGATAAAGAAGTTGTTAGAGTGTGCTCTTGACCAAAGAAGACCACTATTGATTTCAATTCAAATTGTTGTTGTCATTGATTTTAAGTGTTGCAGTTGGAAGACATCTAAGCGACATTATTGACAATATAGAATTATAACCACCATCAATCTTTCAATTTATCATTTTTTCCCCATCAATCTCAAGTAAGATCAAAAAGTAACTCTAATACCATTAGTCTTATATTGAGTATTTTAAGGCTTGTCTTGTGGCAAAAGGCTTCACTTAGTACTATGATATTGACTATGTGAAGACCCTTGTATGAATACAAAGATAAGAATTGTTTTGATATTGATATCTTAAGTTGTTCATCATGGTTGATCCTTATTATAATTTGATGTCAAAATATGTATTATTGTATGAAGAACTTGTAGGATAAATATATATGAATCTTCTACCAAAATATTAATGGTATTCCAAAAATATATAAGGTAAAGAAGACATTATATGACTTGAAACAATCACCAAGATCTTAGTTTGGTTTTTTAGATTTATGCAATGATACTTATAATTCACCTTAATCATTCAACATAGGTAGAGTGTGAGTAAGGGGTTGAATCCACATGGAGAAATGGTAGAAATCTGAATTTAAGTTTTCAAGATGAGAGAGAGGAAATTCAAGTAGAAGAAAGAGGAAAATAAGTGAGGACATAGAGAAGAAATGTAAAGATGATCTTAAAGATCTTGATCTTGTTTTTAAGATTAAGATTCTCTAGATCAAAGGTGGGATATGAAAATGTGGTATGAGGGTTGATGAGCCACGAAATAAGTATGAGAAAAGAAAATCTTAAACAATTTCTTAAGATTTTTTATATGATAGTTGTGATCAAATACAATCAATGATACTTCTTCAAGCAATCATTTAATCATGGACCTGTACATTTCACCCAACTCATGACGGTTTACAACCAACAAGATGAATGAATAGAAAAAGGAAAGAACTAACTAAATTAGAAGTTTGAACACAAGATTGATCTCTAGCATCCCTTTTTTCTATTGGCCATCCAAATGTTAGGGGCAAGACTTAAAGATGAAGATTCAGGTTTGTGGTGCTCCTCTCATAAGGGTTAGGACATGGATGGAAAGAAGAGAAAATGATGAAGCAGC